GCATCAATTGGGCAGTCTTGGGGGCGCGGTCGGGCCTTTGTGGTGCAATCCCGAGGGACAATTTGGAGGCCCGAGACCAATGCGAGGAACGCAACATGTTTTTGACTTGCTTTCGGCAGCAACCAAAACGTGCAAACAAAACAAACTGGGGGGATAAGGCATGACGGGTCGAGTCGAGTGGAAGCAAAGGAGACGGGACGTGGATAGGGGAGGCGGGGCCGCCGCCGGCCGCCGCCGCAAGTTGGCAAGCGGGTGGGATGCCGCCGCCGCCTTTTGCTGCGTGCAGCGCGGCCCAGCGGCCCGAGGCCCGCGGCCCTCGGTGCGAGTCGCACGGTGCCGATCCGCGTCCGCGTCCCGCGGCGGCCGCGGAGGGCGTCGGGGGCTGGTGGCTGGGGACCGACCCCCCAAGGACCCCGAGGGACGACTCTCGATCTGATCGTGATGCACGATCAGATCAGGAGGCACCCTCGCCCACCACCGATCGCGATCCACGATCATCGGCCCCAGTCCGCGAGCATCGGCCACGATCCGCGACCGTCGGTCACGACCCTCGATTATCGAACGATCGGCCGAGGACCGAGGACCCGCTATCACCGCACCGAGACCACGATCGCCGATTCACCCTCGATCCTCGACCATCGGCCCGCAAACCTCGATCCAGCAGCCAGCAGCCCCCCTCGCCCCTCGCCCTCGCTGGAGCAAAGCTGCGCGGCGACTCAGGGCGCCGAATCGACGACCTGGCTCCATCGTCGCTCCCCCCTCCTCTCGGCTCTCGGCCCTCACTTTTCGCCCCCCCTCCCTTTCGCCCCTCTCCACCGTCCCGCCCACGCAACTCCCCATTCCCATCCGCCCCCACTCCAGGGGGCGGGGGGGGGCAGCCTTGCGCCGACGACGCGGCCTTCTCGTGGCGCGCCCCCCCCCCGACCTCTCGACTTGACCGACCTCGTGGTCGCCGTCGTCTTCGTCGTCGTCACCGTCGTCGACGTCGTGGTCGTCGTCGTCGTCGCCACCGCCGCCGCGGCCGTCGTTGTCGTCGTCGACGTCGTCGTCGTCGTCGTCGCCGTCGCCCCGTCGCAGGGTGGATGCCCCCCATCGCCCGCCCGCCCTCGAGGCGGTGCAATGCTGGTCATCCTGCCGATCGTGACCCGCAGGCCTCACCCACTTAGCCTGCTGATACTGCCGTGCCGTCGCCGATGCCGCAGATCCCCACCGCCGTGCCGCCGCGGCCGCCGACGGCCGATCACCACCGCCGTGCCGTCGTCAATGCCGACGCCGACGCCGACGGCAACGACGACGACGGCGGCGGCGGGGAGAGGTCGGCGAGAAGGCCGAAGGCTGCAAACCAAACACCAAAGGGAGGATGCGGATGATGCAAGAGGGCGGAAGCAGCGGCGGCGGCGGCGGCGCAGCCGCGGGCTGCGGGCAGATCTGGTGACGTCCACTGCCGCACAGGTAAGGACGGGAATGAAGTTGTCGCTCATGCGAGTCCTGCCCACCGCGCCGCACGCCGCGCCGCCCTTGCCCCTGCCCGCGTCTCGACGGTGCCTCCGCCTCTCCCGCATCCCGCCCAGGACTCGAAGCTTCGAAGCGCCTCGATGGTCAGGGCGTGGAGTGCGATTGGGCGGGGAGGAGCGAGAGGATAAGGATGAGGAGGTGGCGAAGTGGCGAAGCGAGGAGGAACGTTGGCGAGGAAGAGGGCGACGCTGGCAGTGATCAGTGATGCCCCAAGCCCTTGAAGCTTGAAGTCCTCAGCGGGGCGGCCCCTGGGCAATGCCCAAGTCCCGTTCGAGCCCTGGGCGAGGCACGAGGCAGGAGGCCTGTCGAATCCTGGGCGATGAACGAAGCCCTTCGAGTCCAGGGCGAAGCCTGGCGAGGTCCGAGGCCCTCCGAGCCTTCGAGTCCTGGGCGAAGCCCGAGTCCCTTCGAGTCCTGGGCAAGGTCCGAGGCCAGCCGAGTCCTAGGCGATGCAAAAGGCCATTCGAGCCCTGGGCGGGGACTTGTCCGAAGCCCCATGGACGAGGTCGGAGCCCTCCTATCCTCAATATCGTCACTATCGCAACCACTGGCCATCGTCATTGTCATACTCCTCTTCTTCATCATCCTCATCATCATCACCATCGCCATAACGTTTCATCGCTCCAGCATTTCCTACACTCCTCCCACCCTCGCCATCTAGCGCAGCGCGCAGCGGCCGCGTCACGATGGCCCGCGAGCAAGGATGACATGATGACACCATGACGATTGAGTAGAACTACTGGCAACTGCGTCGGGAACGTCGCATCGGCGGGCGCTGAGCTGAGCGCCACCAAGCCGCAGACTGCGTGCGTGAAAATCAACGCGCCACGTGCTCACTCCCACGCGGCACCGACGGCCTCGAACAGCTGCGCGCAGCTGCTACGCTTCGGGCGGGCCCGCGGCGGGACCCTCGTTCTCGGAGGCGGAAGTGTCATCACCCATCTCGGGGTCCGAGTCGTCCGAGTCGACTTGGCCGCCGTCGACGCCGACGCCGCTGCCCTGGACCACGGAGGGGGCTGCGGCCAGCCTCGTGGTCACGTCCAGCTGATTGATCTTGACAGACTCTGCTGCCTTGGCAACCGTGTAGATGCCGCTGTTGCCCATCATGTCCTGCAGGCTGTAGATGAACTTATCGAGGTTCTTCTGCTCGGCGCGGCGGTCCTTGAGCTCGTGCTGGAGGTAGAAAATGGCATTGAGCAGCACGTGCTTCGGGGTGGTGAGGTTGTACTGCTTGTTCACGAAGTTCGGCATGCGGTTGGGGTTGCGGGGCTCGAACGGCGCCGAGGACGGAACGGGGGGGTTCCGCGTGACCTTCGTAGTCAGAACACCATCCTTGGGCACGATGTGGGTGATGGCACGCGCCACGCGTGGACTGTCAATCACCGTCTTCTTCTTCGGGCGCCCCTTCGGCACAGGACGCGACGCCGAGGGCTTGATCACTGGCATTGGGACCATCGCGAGCCGTCGTCACAGACAGGCACTCAGAAGAGTTAGCGCCAGGATACAAGCGCTGGTGCTTGGGCCACATGGCGACGGCACGAGAAGGATGATAACGGCCCGACGGCCCCACCATTCAAATAGTGGCCCCGTAGTTGGGCGCCTCGTGCCTCGTGCTGGCTACTCGGGGACCACGATCAATGGTTGCCCTGGACCCTGAATGAATGCAAGCGCTGGCTGGGGAGCATTTGCCATGCGCAGGCCCAAGCTCTAAGGTTCATCGATCATCGGGGTCGCTGACGCCCCGCTGCCGCTCATGCTGCTCCTCGTCGTCGGCGTCGGCATCGCATCCTCCTCTCTCTCTCTCTCTCTCTCTCTCTCTCTCTCTCTCTCTCTCTCTCTCTCTCTCTCTCTCTCTCTCTCTCTCTCTCTCTCCATCCCTCTCCTTCCCTCTCCTCCCTGTCTTACTTTCTCTCCCCCATTCTCCTCGTCAACCTCCTCCTCATCCGTCCCCCCTCGGCCCCTCCCCCTCCGCGGTGGACCCTCGCCACCACCAGCTCAACGAGTCCTCCTCCCCATCACGCGTTCCTCGTTCCTCCTCGTGCACCGCGTCGCCCCCGCCACTGCCCCCCAACACGCACCCCTCCTACACCGTCCACCACCCCCATCCGACTCCGTCCCATCCGCCCGCGCTCTCGCTCCGCCCCGCATCAGGTGGGCCGATGACTGCGCTGCTGACGGCTGGTCGCCCTACCCCGCAGCTCGGCACAGAGGCGCTGCGCCCTCCTCCGCGACCGCACCCCCACATCCAACCAAGTTCCCGATTGTCTGGAAGGCGACGGGCGACGGGAGGGATGACGGCGACGATATATAGAGGGAAGGGTGCAGACGACGAGTATTGGGCATCGGGGATTGGGGCGACGGTGGGGGCCGTGGCATCGCGGCCAGGAGGGGAGAATGAAAATGAGGCAGATGATGAAGTGGTTGGGCGCGTTGAAGGGCGGTGAGCATGGCGGTGGGGAAGACGAGGGGGGTTGCCAAGCCTTGTTCAAGAGATCACGCTTGCGACCGTCGCTCCCATGACTCGTTTGCAATGTGACCCCGTCGCAGTGAGCTCTGCCACGCGGCCAGCGACCAGTGGCTACCCCATGGAGTATTTGTCTGCCGCGCAGCTGGCCCCAAGTGGCGACTGGAGAGCAGCCCGAGCAGTCGAGCCAAGCGCACGCTGAGCTGCGTGGCGCAGCCCCCCCCCCCTCGGGACTGCAGCGGCGCGCGCAGACCGCCCTGCGCTCACAGAGCATTGATGCATCAGCAGAAGACGGGCAGCCCTTCCATCTAGCCCTCGGCCTTCCCCCCTCCTCCCCCCACGGGCGCCGAGCGGTCAGAGCACCCAAAGTGGCGCAGCGCGGCTCCAAGAGGGCCTCTAAAAGCCAAGCCTAAGATGACCCCCACACCCCCACGATGACCCAATGTGTCCAACATGGCTTAGTACGGCTTTCAACGTCCAACAAGCCCCAAAGAAGCCCCAGCCCCGCCCCAAGGCGGCCACAAGTGACCACGGAACCCCACGAGGTCACAGCCTTGCAAGCTATCGAGAACATCGGTTTGGTTTGTCTTATCGCATTGTGAATTTCGATGCCTCGCCGAGGCCCAGTCCCCGAGAGGGCCCAAGGCCACGAGCGCCCCAAGCGTTGCTCAAAGGGGCCACCAATGCGGGCATGAGAGCGCCCAGTAGCGCCCAAGAGCGCTGGGCCCCCGTTCGGGGCGATCGAGGGGCGGCCCAAATTGAGCACCCCACTTCGTCGCCGAACTCACCCAAGATAGGCCCGATAGGGCCCAGAGGCTCCGAATGTGACCCCAAGAAAAAAGATACACCGAGATGCACAAAACCTTCAAACACCAAAAGGAAACATGTTATCCCCTCATTGCCTCTTCAATGTCCCTCCCGCCAAGCTGGACCCAAAAAAATGGGCAATGGAGCTCGAACGAGCAAACCGCGTGATAGGGGAGCCGCTAACTCGCCCACTCGGCCGCTTGAAACTCAAACATCAGGCTGGCTGGTCGGCTAGCGTTGCAAGCATCGTGTTCCAGTCTTCCAACACCGTCCCCTTCATCTTAGAGAATGCCTCCATCGTCGCGACCGTAACCCTGCGTGAGCGGCTGGCCTCCCCTGCCCAGCTGGGGAAGCACCCCCACCGCATCCCAATGGTGGGCATCAGGTGGAATATCATGTACACGAACCCCGTCGGCAGCCAGGCGACGTCGCCCTGCTTGATGATGAGCGCAAAGTTGGGGGCCTGGGCCAGACGCATGGGGGAGCAAGGGCAGAGCCGACGACGCAGATAGACGACGGCGGCGGTTGCGACGTTGCGGCGCCGACTCGGACGACGGCGACGACGGCGACGCGGCGACGACCGACGACGACGCCCTCGACGACAATGGCGATAATATCGGCCAGTCCAGCGAAGACCATAGAGACGACGGTGGACGCGACGAAGATGGGCATGATGGTGAGGACGACGAGAAGGGCGAGGAGGAGGACGAGGAGGACGACGAGCCCAAGACGAGACGAGGAGGGGGGGGGCAGGATGGGGAGAAGGAGGAGGGGCAGGAGAAGCGGAGGAGGAGGGAGGATAACGAAGAGGAGAGGGGAGGAAACATACGCCGAGGATGGAGGGGGGGAGCGTGGATCTACGAATAGCGGGGGGGGGTGACGCGATGAAGAAAAGTGAGGGGGGGGGGGGCAGCGGGCCTCGCGGATCAAGTTGAGCAGGTCCCCCGAACTCATGCTCTGGAGCTTGGAGATCTGCGCGTCGAGCGGCTCCCCGACCATCTGCTGCGCCACCACGAGCTCCTTGCCCTCGAAGACGGCCCGCACCTCGCCAATCCCGAAAGGGGGCGGCAACACCTGCGTGTGCTTCCGCGGGGCGAAGAAAGCCTGCATGCCGAACATCGCCTTGGTCAGCTTCGCGAGCTGGGGCGACTTCGCCAGGAACGCCGTGCGGAACAGCACGCTGTCGGCGCGGACAGCAAGCAGCGATGATTTCGCGGAGGCGACGATCTCAGGCTGGGTCACCGCGCCAAAGCAAATGTTCTCCTCGGCCTTGGCCTTCTCCTTGAGCCACGAGTCGAGAGCGTTCCAGCCGTTAGCCTTCTGTACGCCCTCCATGAGCTGCGGCACCTGCATCGCCGAGGCTTTACCAGGGCCCTGGACGGCCTCGAAGGTGGTCTCGATGTTGACGCCGCCGTTGAGCTCCTCAACGGAGAGGCCGACGAACACGAGCTTGTTGGCCATGTCCGCGCTGCAATTGGTGTCCTTCGCGTCCCTGGCTTTATCTGTGAGCTTCTTCTTCTTAAGTGTGGAGCCAGCGGCAGCATCCACCTTCTTCTGGGCCGCGGTCTTGCATTCCGCGATTGCCTTCCTGAAGTCGGACCAGTGGGTGCCATCCGCCCTGGTCTTCCCGCTCGCATCCTTGAGGGCGGCCTTGATGGGCTCCAGGTTGAAGTTCCACGAGGCGTCGTCGCTCATATTGGCAATCTTCATCAGCAAGGCATCTACATTTGTCACGATATTCGGCGTCTCTTTCTCGAAGACCACCAGCCTGGCGACAAGTCTCGCGATCGGCTCCTCCTTCAAGGCGTCATCGGTCAACCTATCGGACATGAACCCCCTGACGTCCACGCCCTCGGAAACCTGAACGAGGAGGGAGATGAGGAGAACGACGACAAAGATGGGCGATCGGGACGGGGGGGGCATTTGGGCCAAAGGAGCCAATGCATTGAGGCCGTCAACGAGCTGCTGGCGCATCGCGTCCGTGAGCTTCTTGGCGGCCTGCCGCTTGGCCACTGCCTTCATGGATTTCGCATCGATGGCCTCCTCCATTGGCTTGATGGCCGCCGCCTCGGTATCCTCCCTGTTGCACAGGCGCTTGTACTCGTCCGCCTTCTGGTTGCGCTGCTCGATCTCCATGAGGCCTTCCGTGATGGAGAGCCCAAGACGGGGTCCCACTGCTCGGCCTCCACATGCGATGCGATCCACTGCTCGAGGACGTCAGTCGGCGCGCCGTCTGCGGCCCCCGCGAGCGCGCTCGACCGCGCCAGAGTGAACTCACCCAATGCGCCCTCCATCGTGTTCTTAATGTCGGCCATGAAGTTCTGGAGGTCCTCCGCGCTGGTGAGCTCGCAGGCGTCGCGTTTCACTGAGCCCGACAAGCGCTGCTGCCTGGTCAAGTCCTGAAACTTGCCCTGGTACTCCCCGGCCAACCACTGCTTTGTCTCTTCGTCCTTCTGGACCTTGTAGATGCCCTTTAAGATGCGGCTCCTCCACTCCGCCAGTTGATCCTGCTCCGACGTGAAGCCCTCCATAAAGAGATCGCGCTTCACAATGCCCCAAGGCTTCCAGTGGATCCGAGACGCGTCTCCCTGCAGCACCTCCTGCGTCGACGACACCTCCCCCACCATTAACTCTTTGGGGGCCTCAGGGGAGGAAGATGAGGGGGATGAGGAGGAGGAGGGGGCACGGGAGGAGGAGGAGGAGGAGGAGGAGGAGGGCGAGCGGAGGAGGAGGACCCCTCCTCCTCCGTCTCCTCCTGGAGGAGACGGAGGAGAAGGATGAAGAAGCTAAGCGGAGGCGGGGGAAGGAGTCGGAAGGAGGAGGAGGAGAGGCGAGGAGAGGAGATCAGAGGAGGAGGTCAGTGGTCAGGAGGTGTATTCTGTTGGACGCAGGGGCCGCGACTCGCTTGTTCCTGTGCTCCTGGTACCACAAGGTCTTCTCCTGAGCCGATTTGTTGTTCCACCACTCCTTGAGCTTGGCGTTCTTGCGCCACCTGTTGGTGAGTGCCTTGTAGCTCTTGCCGCAAGAGGTGCAGTCCTCGGTAGACCTCCTTTGCGCGATCTGCCTCTCGTCGTTGCTGCACAGAACGTTGCGCCGTTTGCACTTGAACTGGCCGTCGCCGACGGCCTCGGCCTCCACCACCCCCATGGCGCACTCACTGTTGGGCGTGCTCGGGCCGCACAGCATGGGGGGCGTGGGCGAGCCCGCAGGCGCGGGGGTCGCGGGCGAGCCCGCAGGCCCAGGCGACGGCCACCCCCCCGCGGGCCCCGCGGGGAAGTGCGGCGTGGCGGCCTTGGCGCTGAGCGGAGACCCTGCGGGCAACGGCGACTTCACAGCAGAGCCAGGGCCTGCCGCCGCCGCCGCCGTCGGGCCGTCGGGGCCGCCTCCGCCCGTGGCGGCCGTGGTCGCGGCATCGGCCCCGACCGCCGCCTCGGCGTCGGCGGCGATGGCCTCACCCGACCCTTTACCATCAACATCCATCGGGCCAGAGCTGGCAGAGCCAGAGCCACCAGCACCACGGCCAGGGTCACGATCACCATGTTGTTGATCCTCCGCCCCCTGCGCGGCGCCGTCGGCGCCCTGCGCGTCGCCCAGATCGGTCGGCGCATCGGCCGCATCCTGGTCCTTGTCCTTGCCCGCCTTCTTGAAGTGGGCGCCGATGGTCTTGCTATCCTCCACGGGCTGGGGCTGCTTTTTCGACTTGGGCGGTGGCATGATGGCTGCAGCAGGCAGGGGTCGGCGACTGGAGGCCGGGTGGCGCATGGCGCCCCTCTCGCAGCTAGCAACAAACCAGCCGAAATTGCCTCGACGGCATGGGTGGAGGTGGGAGAACTCCCCGATTCCCCGCTGCACTGGCGGCTCGGGGAGCTGGGCGGATGAGGATGGGGGTCGGGCAAACTAATGACTTGCGGGCAGGGGGGTGAAGGGCGAGGGCTGCCGAGGGCGACGAGGAATGGCGAAGTTGGGCGGGGGGGGGGGAACACAGGATGGATGCAGGGGGCGAGGGGGGGGGGCTGGTGATATGATGATATGGCTAAGGCTTTGAAGCAAGCAAGCGGATGGAGGAACGGGGAGCGATGAGTCATGATGAGGGGTGAGGATGAGGATGAGGAGGACGAGGACGAGGAGCCATGAGGATGAGAGGGGGTGGGAGGGAGGAGGACGAGGAGGATTCGGGAGGACGAGGAGGAGTGATGGAGGAGGGGGGAGGCCTTCAAGGTGGAGAAGCAACAGCAGGAGGGAGGGGATACGGGAGTCCCTGGGCTATGAGCTATGAGTATGTGAGCTCTGAGCTGGGCTACCGCCAGCCAAGGACACTGAACACCAAGCTCATGGCTTCCACGAGGGCGCCGAGGACTTGCAGGAGGGCGGCCATTGGTGGCGGGCAATGAGCGGGCGCGCGGCATGGGGGGAGAGGGGCCGACGGGGATGTCAGCTGATGGGAACGGCGCGTGAGACCCAACCATCCCTTGCCACCAGTTTCGCACGCGCACCCGTTTCGTGGCCCGACAGGTGGTTCCAGACGATGCCCGTTGACATATAACGGCGCCGCTGGCGCCACTCGCAAGTGCATATGGTTGGGCCTTTCGCAATGTCACGTTCGTCGTCGTCGCGCCGTCGCCGTCGCACTGTCGCCGTCGGGGAAGCGAAACCAGAGTTTGGGCACATGCTCTGACCGATTGCACCTTCCGCCTGGTGAGTGGCGCACGAAGCGCAAAGTGCCGAGGTAACACCGAATGGCACAGCATAGGCGGGAACGCTTATATATGACATGATGGCCAGGCCGCCTGCCTGGAGCCTCCAGCCTCCAGCGATGTCGCGATGCCTACTGGCAGCCAGACAAGGGATCATCCCACGAGGCGAGCGACTGACCATCTGGAGACGTTGGCGCAGGCTGCAGGTCCGCGAGCTCCATGCCGCGCGTCATGGAGTACCACCTGTTGTGCTTCACGCGGGCCCTGTCGCCAAGGATCGGCAGCTTCGCAGAACCCGCACTGTTGTTATAGATATTGACCTCTGTGGGGGACTCCTTGATGTCCACGCCGAAGTCGCCGTAGAATGCGATCATCGCCTCCTTCTTGAGCTCCTTGATGCTGACGTAGTGGCGGCCACCCGTGCGGGCCTCACGGTTCGGCATTGAGATGGTCTCCCACTCGCCCGTGTCGTGCAAGAAGACGCGCGCGTTAATCGCGGTGACAGATTCAGGCGGCCACACTGCAGGCGTAGGCTCCGACGACTCGTCCATGATGGAAACGTAGATCCACTTCCTGAGGCCGATGCCGTGGGCATCGTCCAACGCCTCACCATTTGGCGACTCCCCAGTGACCAGGTGAATGTTGATGCGGGTGCCGCGGTATGTCGAGACATCCGCAGTGATCGCCTTCTTGATCGCGCCCACCTCGGCGCACAGCCTCATGGACGCCTGGTCGAAGACGACTGGGCAACACACGGGGGCCCACGCGTCCAGCTCCTTGAAGTACGCCGTCAGCCTGCCCATGACCTCGTGCGCAGACACAATGTTGTACTCGCTCGTGTCGGGATCGTCGTAACGGCTAGTCCCAGAAGTCCCGTCGATCAGGATGACGGTGCGCTGGCCGCCGCCGCGGGCCATCACCTCCTGCTGTGCCGCAATCGCCAGGCCCGCTGACGCCATAGCCGTCGAGTCGAGAACGTCGAGTAGTTGGTGGGCCAGGGCCTCCGCTCACTGAATAGCTTGCTCGAGCCCAAATGTCTACGGCCCTCCAGAGCGAGCAGTCGCCCACCCGCCCCCACCGAGGTGCACAGCTTGGGCCGCTGTGGGCAGGCTTGGACGCATCTTGGGCACATCTTGGGCACACGATGTCTTGCTATAGTTGCACGCGCAGGTGTATGCCTGCAGGTATAGGCTAGCACTTGCATACGTTGTGGTCTGTCTGAAGCACCTACATGTAATCGTGTGTCGAACATAGGCGCACAGGCGCTGGCGGCCCCAATATGGGCCCAAAATGCCACGCGAGGCCCAAGCGAGGACTCCACTGCGACAGGAGCAGGAGGAGCGGGAGGAGGAGGAGCGGGGTGAGGAGGAGGTGGAGAGTGGAGAGTCAGTGGAGGACTCCACGAGGTGGACCAGGAGGGGGACGAGCACGTAGACCACCGTAGAGGAGGGATGGTCGCTCCGAGTCGTTCCTGCTTCCCCCCCCCCTGCCCCCCTCCCCATCCCGCCTTCCTTATGCAATCGCATTGGCAATGGCAACGGTGACGGCGATGGGATGGTCGCGTCGCGATGAGAGAGGGGTGAGGGACGCGGAGCGGTGGAATGTCGGCGGGCGTTTCGGGTCTCTGCGCAACCGCGGCCGAGTGGTCGGTTAGCAAGCTTCCGTAGGCGGCGAAGCGTGGCCGCGCGGTCTAACGGAGGGATGACAGCACGCGCAGCATTGGCAGGCGGGCTAGCAGCAGGGCCCCTGACACGCCGAAACGGATGGCCCGACGGATGGGGTCAAGAGCTGCCGCAGACGAGCATTCAAAGTCTCCTCGGATCAGTTCGAACTCTCGGTCGACCGCCTCGGCCCGCCGCTGAGACAACCGACGCCGCTTGTAAGCCCTGAACCCCGACTTCAGGGGCATGCCTACTTCGGATGTTTCTGCATCTGTGACCTGCTCCGCTGGGGCGTCGGCACTCGGTACATCGGACTCATCATCTGGCAAGCCAGCGCCCCCAGCCCTCCTCCGATTCCTCCTCTTCCTCTTCTGCCCCCATATGCCTCAGGAGCCTCCTCCTCCTCATCCGCATCTGCCCCCTCCTCCTCCTCCCCCTCCTCCTCGGGCGCCTCCTCTCCCAGGCCCGCGCCGCTGCAGCGCGCGCCCGCATCTCCGCCGTCGCCGTCGTTATCTTGCGGCGCCTCCTCCTCTGCCCCTGCCCCTGCTACAGCGTCGCCGCGTTGGTCGGCCCCCTTCGACCCTCGACCCGTCAGGATCATCGAGCCCGCCCTCGCCATCCGAACTGGCCCAAAGAGACGGGAGGAGCTTCCAAGAGCCTTGCATTGACCCAGGTGGCTACGGACCCCGCGCACCGCCCCCTGGTCGCCGTCGGCGACGGGGAGAGCGCGCGCGCGCGGTGGACCAAGAGCGACGAGCCATGAGCAAGGAAAGGCAATGAACCAGGAACAAGCTTAAGGAGCAACGCTGGCGAGGAAGTGCACGGGCAACGAAGGGGGGCCCGCTGAAAGCCGAGCGGCGGCCCCAGTGGGCCATGGACACCCAGGGGGCCCATATTAGGATGAGGGGGGAGGGGCCTTGGGATCGTTCGCCATACAGCCTAGCGAAAAGCCCTAACGCCAACGAGCTATATGCTAGGGTGCGCCCCCGACTAAAACCAGCACCGCTCGGGCCCCAATGCCGAGAAGCTTGCTGTCTATATGCTGAGCTCATGATGGAGCCTGCTGCTTCAGGGCGACCCTTCGAGGAGCTATCCTGAGCCCGTCTGGGCTTTCGGACCCCGACCACAACCGCTTGGTGCGCTCTTGAAACCCCTGGGGCAGGTCACTGGGGGGGGGGGGGGGGGGGGGGGCGGGGGGCTAGGGCGCGCGTCAGACGCGACCGAGAGCAGGAGGCGGGGCGCCCCGCGACCCCGCCGCGCCACCAGTGGCCACCAGGAGGTCCTCGGCATCATCGGCGTGGCGACGGCGAAGTTATTATAGTCAGAGGCGGTCCTCAGAGGCGGCGCGGGCGGGGGGGGAGGAGGAGGGAGAGGAGGAGGAACGAGGAGGAGGACCAGGAGGCGAGAGGAGTCTAAGTCAACGAGAAGGAACAGGGGAAGAGGAGGAGGGGGAGGGGGAATGAGGAGGAGGCGGGAGGCGGCGGCGGAGAGGGCAGGGAGGTGGCGGGCGGCGGAGGAGGGCCTCATCAGGGGAAGCAGAATATGATGGCAAGATGCCGGGGTGACTTCGACACCGCGGTCGACGCTGCTCGCCATCACCCCCTCGCCGCCCCTTCGCGGAGTCACCGTGCAGATGCAACCGCCAGGGAAGCAATGGAGACCACCCCCGCCTATCCTTACTTCCCTGGGACCAGCCCTCCATCACCCTTCCGCCCCGCCTCATCCTTCACGCCCCATGCACCCCCCCCTCGCCCCGCGGCCCCGCCGCGCCCCCCAGCGGCGGTCCTCGTGCACAACCGAAGCACGAACATGACCATGATCACCATGCAAGCGGTGGTCCTCCGCAACAGCAGGGGCCGTCGCAGCGGGGGCGTCGGGGGGGGGGGCGGCGCGGTGGAGGGCGCGGGGGCAGAGCAGGGGGGCGCAAGGGCTGGCGGCGAGGGCGAGGAAGCTGGGCCCCGAGGAGGCTCCAGCCGAACCGCTACTATACGCCCCTCCCCCATTCCTCCCAACTCCATCCATGCCCCCCCCCCGACGACGACGATGGAGAAGCACAGAACCCGCGGTAGCGGCCCCGCGCAGGGCCGAGGGCTTGAAGAGAAAGGACAGGGCTTGAAGAGGGAAACATGGAACGGCCTTCAGAAATCCGAGGTCCCAGGGCCCAATGCGGCGCCCCAGGGGCACGGCACAGGACCCCACAAGAGGCCCAACACTGGTTGGCCCAACACGTTGGTGGAGGGTTGAGGTTGAAGCGGGTAGGGGGGGGGGCGAGGAGTATGGGGGGCGCTGCGCGCTGCGCTCTCGGCGCCTACTCAGGACTCCGACTCAGGACCCTCCGACTCACTGCTGTCACTCGGAC